CCCCCCCGCCAAAAAAATTGAATTAGACACTATGTTGAAAATGATCTATACAAACTGTGGGTGGGGACAAGAGGGAAAAACTGGGAGAGAGGGAAGGGGTAACACTGTCCATAAAGACTTGTACCCATTACTTATGAAACTGTACACATAACCTTTAAATAAAAATGAATTTGTAAACAATATAAAGATATTTCCTTTCATCACAATTCCCTAAACAATACAGAATAGCATTATCTGTATAACATTTATACTGTATTATTGTTTTAGGAACTTTATCTAGAGGATGTACGTAGTGCATATAAATATTAACATTCTTCAGACACTACAGATTTTGGTGCCTAATGAGGTTGTAGAACCAAACCCTCTAAGATACTTTGGGAAAACTATTTGAATGTCTGTTAATATGTTTGTGTACATGCACAAATATGTGTGTGTGTGTGTGTGTGTGTGTGTACTTAAAGACTGAGATTCTATATAGAATAAGACTTTAAAGACATTTTCATTATAAACCATTGAAGGCATTACTCTAAGTTAGGAGTGAACTTTCTTTTCTTTATTTGAAATATCTAAGAAGAACTTCAGTTTATGGTAAAGAATTGATTCTCTACCCTTCATGTTGTCCCTTTCAGAGGAGAAACTCCTTGAGAGCTACATGAATATGCTTTGCTCAGCATATCTGCAAATTTGCAAAGAAGGTTTATATTAATGCTTTCTGACACATCTAAGGAGTTGCCAGTAGTAGTCTTGCACTCACTGTGTGTGGGCAGATCAATTCAGAGGTCATGCGTTAAGCAGCACACTGGAGTTTCACATCAAAGCCATTTCCTTCAAACCTTTTACTCGGTACAAAAGCTGAAATTTTCAATTCACCTGGAAATCTTATTAAAATGCAGACTTTTTTTTCATAAAAAAGCTGTTATTTTGATCTCAATTATTCAATTTCAAGTATTTACAAATTGGCTCCAAAGAGCCCAAAAATTGCAATATATGAAACTTCTAAATTTCTAAAAGTTTTAAAAATAAATCTCTTCAATGACACAAATGCTTCTTCAAGAAGTTATGAGGACTTGTTCTCAGTCAAAATTATGAAATACATACATACAGTAAGATAGGATAACATGAATTAATCATACATGTAAAATATTATCATCAGTAAAGCAGCTTCTTGCCTAAGGAACTTTTAACTAATATACGATTTGTTTTTTGAACCCATTTAGATGAGCTAAATAATATAGGTAAGTGAAAATACATATCAAGATGGACTGGGAATACATACAAACTTTGAAAAGAATAGGATCTGCTGCAAGAAATTGAGTCAGTCTGATTTGGAACACATATAAACATTAAAGCAGCATGCATTATGCAGCAAAATTTTATAAAGAAAATGTTTTTGTTAATTCAAGAGATTTATCCTTTAGAAAATGATACTTCTAGGCTGGGAAGGTGGCTCAGTGGTAGAGTGCTTGCCTTGCATGCATGAGGCCCTGGGTTCAATTCCTCAGTACCACATAAACAGAAAAAGCCAGAACTAGCGCTGTGGCTCAAGTGGTAGAACACTAGCCTTGAGCTGAAGAGCTGAGGGACAGTGCCCAGGCCCACAGTTCAGGCCCCATGAACCAAAAAGAAAATGATACTTCTAAGTTCTTCCAAGAATTCTTAAAATTCAACATATATTAAGTATTAATTATATATTTAATCCATCACTGTTTTTAGGGTTCTCAAAAGTTAGTTTGATCAGAGGAACATGGTGTATACTTTTTCCAACTTCAAGAAATGCTGTCAAAAAATAGAAGTTGGATTCGTTATTTAAAACCAAGATCTTATCCTGCAATTCTAAAATATTAATACATTCAAAATACTATTAGTCAAATTATTTAAACAGCAATAAAAATTTGCTGAAACACTATTATCAACAAATTTTATTTAAAAATTGTTTTGCTATGACTTCTGAAACTAAATGTTATATAGAAACATAAAGAAATCTATCTCATTGTTCTTACTATCATGTTAATAGCTACTTAACAATTTTAATGTCTATCAAACAATTATCACTAACCAAATGACATATTTATGTATAATTCACTGAATTATTTGGATTTACTAGAGTCAGTGTATAAAGCAAAGTTTTCACCTCAAACCACATTGTCTTTGTAATAGAATAGGTTAGGATGAAAATAATCTCTGTATAGTTAGTAGCCATTTCTTTAAAGCAAGATCCCACAGTGAGGTGAAAATAGGTCCAACTGTGTCTAACATACATAACAAAAATCTTTTGAAGCCAATTTCTTTTCTTTGAAAACGACTAACTATGAAACTGAAACTATTCATGTAGAAGAGGAATAGGAAGTAAACAAATGAAAACTAGGATGTCTTAATTCAAACATTATGAAAATATGAATGTGCTTTAAAGACTAATCAGAATACAGGACACTTACTCATAAATTTATCAAACAAAATGGGCTATAAGCTATACTCAAGACCCTGGTAATGCCAATGAACTCAAACACAACACTATAAAATGTTTCTTAATGCATATTAATAACCTCCAAATTCTTAAACCAATAGGGTCAAGTTTTATACATGTAATATATCCAGTAATATGATGTTCCAACAGTTAACTTATAGAAATTTACTAATACAAGAAAGAAAAGTAATATGTCATCATGTAATTTACACCAAGTCTTTTTTAGAACTTAGGCTGTTAAAACATATACATATATACACATACGTACACATACATACACACACAGGAAGAAAAGGAAAGAAAGCATCTATTTTTGACAGCTAAACTTATAGTATATTACTAGTTAATATGCTTTTGTAGTAATTTTTTAAATTTCATATCAATTTAAGCATTTTTACTCACTTTACTCACCTTAAACCATATAACACACAACTAAGAAGGTAATAGTTGCAACCCGTGCTGGCCTTTATATGCATAGATAGCAACTGTTTCTGTGGTGTGGCTTTCCCAAAATATCTCCCACTTGGGCCTCTCCCTGATGCCTAAAATTCTTTTGCAGTTGGTGTCAGTCAGAAGTACAAGTAAACCAATAACATTTGTTGTGAATATTTTAGTATATATTATTATTTGAATATTTTGATCACTTTTGAAGAATGACATAACTAGAATATGATAGAACAAGAGAGGCAAGAATGCAGTTTAAAATGTACTCATTACCTCATTTATGTAAATGTAACCCCTCTGTACAGCATCTTTACAATAAAATGAAATTAAAAAAAAAAGAATACATAGGTTAAAAAACACCCCCAAAAACACAAATATAAAAGTCTGATAGAGAGTTAGAAGTTAGAAGGATCCTTAGTTAGAATTTGATAGGCTATATGGTGAGATCCTTGGGGGAAGGAAGACTATAATTGTTAGGCCTAGAAAACAGGATGAAACAGGGTTTCATCCTGAAAAAGCTGAGTTAAAAGGAAAAGAACAGCAGAAAAGAAAAAAAAGTGACAGTGATGCTTAATGAGATCTTTGTAAGAAAGTAATGATGGGGCTGGGAAGGTGGCTCAGTGGTAGAGCGCTTGCCTTGCATGCCTGAGGCCCACATGCCTCAGCACCACATAAGCAAAAAGAAAAAAGCCAGAAGTGGCGCTGTGGCTCAAGTGGTAGAGCGCTAGCCTTGAGCTGAAGAGCTGAGAGACAG